TCAGACGTGTGCTCTTCCGATCTCCCCAAAACCCCAAAACCCCAAAACCCCCATTGGTATTATAATTTAGAATTGAATAAAAAGGAAGTAATTATGAAATCAAGAACTTAAAATCCCACCAAGATTATGTTCACTTTTAAATTTCAAATCTCTTAAGCTCTTTTTCTTGATCTCCAGCTCATCGTTGCTCAAAATATCTATCTCGAATATTTGATTAGGATTTTTCTTTACAAACGTCTTTTGATTCACGTAATCTTCATCATCTTAATCCCCATCAGCATTCACTTAATCCTCTTCATCTTCGTCGATCACTTCATGAATACCATCTTTGCCTATTGTTACTCTCTTGATTTATTAAAACAAAATGCTGTGGCATTTTTCAAGAGCCTCTTCAATCTACTAATTATACTCAATGTTACTCATCAGGCAATCACCTAAGAAATCCAACTCATATAATCTCTATTTCAGTTCCAATTAAACAGCCACATTTCCCTCAGTATTCTTATAACTCTCTCTACTATTATGATTAGATAAGATTGGTTCTGTTTCATCCAAGACTTTCCCAAAAATCTATAGAGATTGCACGAATAAAGCCTAGATCAAAATTTAATGTTTGGGGTCAGAACTCATAGAAGCTTGAAATCCGTCCAGTTTATTCAAACTCGGAAAGACCTAGTATATCTCAAGCAGCATGTATTAAATGTAATTGACTGCATCCCACACATATGGCCTCACATCCTTAAAACTTGACTATTAAGCTTCCTAAAATATTTAGTCCATCAGTTCTGTATTAAAAATGTCTAATTCTGTGTCATTTTATTCTGAATCCTGTAGTTCAATTTATTTTTCAAGAGCAGAGCTATATAATTATCTGAGTATTTTCTCATTCAAAATTAGCACACTATCATTTATCGCTGACTGTGTACTTTGATTTATCAAATTATTCATATCCTAATAGCATTAAATGCACAATATATATTTTTACCTGAAACTGCAGTTCTATTGATGTAATGTTATTCTTTTTAGAACTTGCCTTTTTAGACAATGGCAGAGTGTTCAAAATATCTTTCAAAAGCTGCAAGCCATAGTTCAAAATCATCTCAAAGCCATTAATGAGAACAAGCATCTCACAGATCTATAAATTTATATTGCTGGTATTTTACAGTTGATTAAGTAATCATTATTTCGGAGCCATCCTTTACTTTTTCCCATTATTGCTCGGCATAAATTCTTTTATCAACTATCATATCCTGCATTCTTTTTACTAAATTTTTCACAATTTATGATGAAGATTCTAGCATTATTGAGCTCAGTTGCCTAAAGTTTATCTGTTCTTTTTCTTTGATAATTTTCTTGAGAAGATGAATCTCCATGCATAGCTAATTGAAGAACCCGTATATAAAAATGGGCACTTGCATCCATTTGCCTTTGAACCAAGTTTTAGTAAAATATACTGACAAATCCTAGAGTCCAGTTAAAGCTATCATCATATCACTGGTAGCGCCTTGATTATCTCCACTTTATTAAGCATTATTGAAATTCATATTACTAAAATTACCCACATTGTCTTCATCGTCTAAACCATTCATATTAGAAGTGTCATAAGGGTTTATTTTGAGATATTTTAATTGTATAAAGGCATTGCACACCCAATTATTAACAGCTGACTACTAAATCTAGTCTATTATATCACTGAGAGTCTTGGTAGCTACTGATTTCTAGTTTTTTTACTCTTCTACTTCTTCAAGTCTAGCAAATCCTAATTATAGTTCAATAATCTCTTGCAGAAATTAGGATATCTAAACTGAGTCATCAACTGTAATATTATCATTGAAGAAATAGTCAAATTTAGTAATCTCAGTGATTTCTTAAACAGTTACACCCTCCCTATATACATGAGTTGGTCTGAGTTTGATGAACAGAATCTTTGATAATTGGTCTCTCAGCTTATTAAGAATATCGGAAATTAATCTCTCCTCACTGCTTTATTATATTATCTCCATGTTAGATCTCATAAACCCATTTATCACTGTGAGCTCACACAGGAATCTAGCTTTAAACACTGCCAATTGTTCTAGAATAGCTAACTTTTAAGGAGAATCCTCAATGACTGTGCTTAAAAGCTTATTATTGCTCTTAGTTTTACTTCCCTTCTGCTGTCTATTTTCAAGGTAGGCTTTACTATACTCTCTAGGGAATAATATTTCTTTAATGTCTTTCTCTGAATAATTATGAACTAATGATGCTCTTTAATCTGGCATCTCTCCATACTCATTCTAGTCATCGTCATTATCATCAATAAGTACGTCCATATCCTTGCGAATGCTAATAAACTCAGATATAATTTGCTGTCTCTTAAAAGTATTCTGAAAATTTATGCCCATCTCTATCGAGTTATTGAACTAAGTTTGTTAGTCGATTAAATCCATCACTCTGTCTCTCAAAGCCTATAGTATAAAGTCAACTGAGTTTTTCCTTAACTTATTAGGCTAGTTCTCCTTAGTCATTAATGAGAATAAGATTTCTAAGTAGACTTGATATTACTCTAGACCCTTAAACTGTATGTCTTCTATTGTTGCAGCAATGATCTTTTAGCCTACTCTTTCAATAATCCTCTTAAAGGTTCGATCCATTTAATGCAGCACTTTCTCAATAGCCTCACTTCTAATGTCTGAGTTATTGCCACTCATGCTTTGAAGTCTATCCTAGTTTTTACTTTATCTTTAATGTATTTCATACTATGCTCTGTTTATTATCCCTCTTTCCCTTTGAATAATATCAATAGCTTTCTTAATGTCATCTTCCTCCATAATAGAAAGATGTATTTGTCTGTTAATTTTTAACAATTGAATAATCTGTTTCACAGCTGCATTTGTCATCACACAATCATTTATTTTCTCCAACTACTCAATAAGTGGTCTCAACTTTAACTGAGCTTTGACTCTAAGAGACTTCATAGCTTCCTCCAGTTCATCTAGAAATTCATTTGATTCCTGAGTTGATAAGAATTTCTTATTGATGTCATCAAGAGTCATCTTTGCTGCTAAAAATTGCCCGTAGTTATTCACCACCAAATCTTTTTTGGTTGCCAGTGATGTTTGATCCTTGAGTTTAGCTTTGACATTTTAGATACCTTAGTAAAAGGTACTTGAATCTGTCTCTTTGTGCACAGTAACCAGATATTACTGAGGTTCAAACATTGGTGATTATATATGAATCGCTTCGAGTTGCTAAGAGCTTTCAACTAGAAGGTTAAGATTTTTCAAGGGTAGCTAAGTAATTGGATCAATAATCTCGATTTAAGAATAGTCTCCTGTTGCATTCTAAGAATTTTGATTTAATGAAACTACACCAGTATCTCCCTCAATCACATTAAAGTACTAAACTCAATTAGAATAATTATTATTGTCTTACTCTCTTATCGTTATCAAAATTAACATCTGCCCATCTGCTTGGCTCCTTATTCTTGAATCTCTCTCCTCTCTTTTTCTTCTTGCCTTTCCCACGGCTTGAACCATCTCCTCCAGACGCAACATCAACTTAAACTTTATTATAGTAATATATCATACCTTCACTTGCTTCACTTTCTGTAATACTCATATCCCCATTAGAATCATTAGTACTTCTTTGCTTTTTCTTCCTTTTCTTTTGCACTTAACTTTGCTCATCCTGATTTGACAGTTCTTCATTGATTATCTTCTCAACCTTTTCAAATATTTCTTCCTTTGGTATCAGTTGCTTAAGCGGTAAGTTCTTTCTTTTAGTCTATGAGTTCATGATAAATGCAATTTTACTTTGATAAAAATTAGTATATCCAGAGCAGGGTTAGCTTTGTCTTTCTTTTTTGCATATTCCTTGTAATGATTGCCAAGATCCATATTGATGTATACTGAAGCTTCAAGCCCTCTAAACTCATCCTAGACATTGTCTGTAAACGAGTAGTCTTTACTAAAAAGCAGAGTGTGAATAAGCTATAAAGAACCGCTTGAACTTCTCTTAATAGTTTTCAGCACACTTGACTTGGAGCTACAGAGCTAACATAGACCACTTATATCTTGGGACTCATCTCCAATAAGTAAGAAGTCTATTTGATCCAAGTTCAGATAAGGCTGTGGCTCTTTAAACAAATACTTCTTAAAATCTTCGAGCAGCTTGAATTTCTTTTTTGTTTTTTTGTCTGAGAATTTCTTCATAAAGTTCTCTAAAGTCTCTTGAATCTAATCAAAATCTGCCATCACTTTATCTTAATTTATAATCTTTGTCAAAATGTTAAATTTGTATTAAAATCATTATTTCTTGGGGTTTTGGGGTTTTGGGGTTTTGGGGTTTTGGGG